CACAAATATGATGTTTCTTTATAACAAGATACACATAAATTTTATTTTTAAAATTATTGTGGCATTCATAATCCATTGTCCTAATTTAATTAAAAACAACATTTCAGAAGCTGGAATCTGCTTCTCTTATCATGTAACAATAAAGGAAAAAAGAGCGGAAAAGCATGTGCTGAGTCCCCTGATTGAGACTGTCTCAGACCTGGACAGAATCACCGGCATGCCAGGGAACACACATCGGGCCAGTTTACTGTACGTAACAACCGCCGCCGCCGCCACCACCCCCATGGGCCAGACTGTATACAGGGCTGGCGACAATCACAGAGTTTCATTAGGGATGTAATTTACAAATGTGAAACTTAGATCATCACAGAAGCATTTAATCGTTTCTTTCGCAACTCAGTCTGAAATATCAAATCATACACACTCTAACAAGAATACAGTAGGCCAGAATGGCCAAATTACTCTTTAGGCTCCTAGCTGTTGCCATTACTTGAAACAACCATCCAAACATGCTCAACGCTCATTTCAATCTTACCGATACAGCACGCAATGTGGACCATTGGTCCTTCTTTTCCGAGACTGAGACCTGCTGACACAGAGAGCATGATGCCAACAGACTTGATGATGAGAGTCCACTTGCCAAGGTAACCTCTGATGATGAATCCACTGAGGATTGTTTTAATCTGTAATAAAGGTATATAAAGTTGTGTACATTACACCCCATACAAAACATCTCTAAAATTCTAAGACATGTTATTACATAGATACATATATATTAAACTCCAATTGACATGTGAGTCATGACTTGTAATCTGTTCATTAAGAAGTGATGGCTGCAAATACATTTCCTCTCACCAGTGTGCAGCCAGCACCTACTGAAAGAAGATGTATTTTCTTTAATGTGTTTTCCTGCAACTCCTCTTGGACTGACGACCTGTTCAGAAACTTCTTTAAGTGACTTGCAAACTCAGAGATTCCGTAATGACAGTCACCGAGATCATAAACTAGTGAATAACATATAATTATTACTATTAAAAGCATCAATGAGCAAAAGAGTTGAAATCTGAATTCATCCTCCAATAACACTTTTCAATATAAAATCTATTCAACTTTTTATGACATGACAGAGGAAAGCCACTTTAATTCTGAGTGGAAAGAGTTAACTGTATTCTGTTCTTGTAATACATTTTCTCACACTCAAGTGAGTGCTGCAGAGAACTTTACATGTATTTTCATGACACTTGCTTCCAATATTGGATGGTGCTGACTCTCTGAAAGGTGTTTCTGGTTCTCCTACACATCTCCATGCAACAAGTACCACAATTTCCAATTTCTCATTTTGCATGGTCCTACAATCTACACAGCTCCCCACTGGCTGTAATACAAGCAATTGTCTTAACAACACAGGCAGACAATTCTTTTCCATTGAATCGAAAGGAAAACAAGAATAACAGGACAAATTCATAACAAGCAAATCTGATTAATGCAATTCTCTTTCTACACATCAAACAAATCTCAAAGTGATGCTTCGGTAGCAGCTGTAATGAAGTTTCTGAGGTTTTCTTCAGTTTTTCCAACAAATATCAAGTTAGTAGCACTCGCACACAACCGACTTATTCTGGATGAAAACATTTTGTTGAAAGAAAAAAAAATGAAATTGAACCAATCTGAACAACATATAGTGAGACATATATCCCAATTTTCATTACCCCAATCTGAAAACTACAAAATACTGCTTCAAACTAACAGCACTTACCTCAGGAATACCAGAACCACATGCATACGGTGCAAACATTCGCACCAGGGCAGCTGCCAGAGCAGCAAATATTAGTGCCCATACAATGTAGACCAGATATGAGATAATGTACGGTCCCACACCTTCTCTCGACTGTCTCAGCACCTCAGGCCATGTCCACCACTGTAACAACAATGTTTCATGTCTGCAACTATGCAGAAACTAGGGCTCTCATGGACAATGTACGTAACTTAGAAAGGCATTCCTCTGACTGACGACTTACCTGAGAACAATTTCCGTTATCAAATGTGGTCTCATTGGACGACCAGCAGCATTGTTCCCTGTTGAGCCAGAAGGCTTCGGGGCAGATACCATACTTGAGATCTGACATCCAACTGGCTCCAATGTCAATAACACCAGCCACCACGCCTGTGACAAGGCCAACAAACAGCACACACACCCAACCAGACCATGCATCATGTGCCCCCTTGATTAAGTCACAAATTGAATCCTGTTTCTTCTTTATGATATAACGGTGACGCATACGATCACGTGCGATATCACGCTGCCAGTCTATGGTGTGGAAATCATCATACTGGCCAATTCCAGGGATGTCATCTGAATCCCCTGAAACTAAGGTAAATACGACTTTGTTTCAGTTAACTTTATGTGGGTAGTGACAACCTCTTTGATTTCAGTTTCCAGATATGAGCTCCGGCATTACTGTACTCTGTATGCCAGCACAAACGGATTGATAGAGGGATCTATGCGAGCAATAATAGGAATTCAATAGAGAAAAATTTCCAATGAACCCAAATGTTCATCACCATCAATAAAAAAGTCTATCACTGCATATATTGAGACCTACATCCAGCCAGCTCACATTCCTGTAAACTATTTCCTTCAGGTCCATTTTAATATAGAATTTTCCATCAACATCTGGGAGCAAAATTTAACCAAAATCTGTAGTTATGTATTTGTTTCATCCATATGTGCTATCTGCCCGGCCTTCTTGATTCAGTCATCCTGTCTGAATTTTATTTTTCATTTATTCTATAAAATAATTTATAAAAATAAAGCCCTTTGGTCACATATCCTGTTAATGGCAAGGATAGTGCAGCAATAATGAATGATTCACATTCAGAAGGTAACAGATTTTAATCCAATTGAGGGCAATGATTAGCCTGTCAAGATTTTTGGCCACTTTTCTCTATCCTTTCAGGCTATACTACCAAGCAGTACTTTAAAAAGAGAGAGGGAGGGGATATGACTGCTTCATTCCACATTCTTCCCAATTTACCATTCAAAATCATTCCAGGGTCATCCAGAGAATTCCGAGTTTCAATCTCAGTCAGATCTATTTCGACCCCAGGTAAATGTTTGTTTGTGTATAACATGAGACTGGAAAATCCTGTTTACTCAAATGTTAGTGGATATAATTAGAAAAAAAGAGTTTTCTTGTTATCATTCCCTGAACTAACAAGAATTCCAATGGCTCCAAGATGTTGGTCTCCAATATCCTCAGGGATGGTCTGTGATGACCTTTGCCCACTCATGCCAGCCTTAGATAAGTCTAGGATCCATTTATGAGGTTGGAGAACATACAGAATGGATTCTGTTACCTCCAGTGATAATGGTGGTTATGATAATAATAGCTGGCAGGTACAACAACATAACCATACTCATTTAGTGAGCTTTCTATGGTAAATGAAATGCCTTGAATTTTCAGTATGTACACTTCTCTATACCAATTCCCCACCAGTGACAGGAATAGCCGCTGGTACATTATCAGGATCTTGATTCTTTGTCCATATGCACCTCTAACACTGCACCTAGATGGTTTACGAATATGCACATTTTTATCCAACCCAAACATTTCAAATTCTGCTAAATAAATTAACACTTTCAAGCTAAATGTTTGGAAGTGTTTGTATTTCTTTCCTGTTCCTAGTGCCATCAGTTGAAGAGTTAAATAATTATTCAGCAAAGATGGCTGTTTTCTCCATAATGACCCTGACGACGAAATGTTGGTAAACTACCAGACTACATGGCGCTACTACCCAGACGACAGCCATCTTCATACTCACCCCTGCGAGAGTCTCAAATTCTACTAACTACTCAGTGATTCAATGCATCATAGAAATATATAGAGACAGTGTTCACATAACACACGCCTTTCAGTTCTTGATTTCTTTCAACATAAAAATATAAATTAAAAATTATTTTTGATGAAACAGCACAATGGAGTCTGTGTCTTGCAGTCTGTCTTAATATGGATGGGAGAACATTAATTTGTGCAATTAAAAGTTTGATACAATTATTGCAGTTTTTGCAACTGTTGTTGAAACTGATTACTTTTTCAAGGCATATTCTAAAGTAACATTATATTCTGACGATCTTTTAAGCGGATGCAATAAAATACATGCAGAGCAACTCAATGCAATAAAGATACTACAGAGGGGAACAACAATGTAGACCAATAGCAACCAGCAGATAAACGTTACAATGCAAAAGAGAAAATGGTGTTACAAAAATACCACATTCTATAAACCAAGGAAATAAAATAATATTTTCATTCATTCACATATGGCAGACACACTGTCTGGACAAATTATCCTGAGGTTTCTTGTACTTTTACTAAACTCCTCCAGGTGAACGCCAGAGCGTATCTTAAAAATAGGCAACAATTTCTTCTAACATCCCTTGTATTTCTTGCAACACCACACAGCATCACTGAAGAAACAGCATAATTAAACAGCACAAACAATTTTAGGTGCATTAGCATATAAAATATGCAAAAATATGCTTATTAGCTTTGCTATGTCTGTCCACTGTGCAAATGTAACTCAAGAACCAATGAACACATCTTTACAAAATTTTATACTGACGAGTTTTACTAAAAAAAACAAACAATATAATTTAGGTTAAAATTAGACAATAGGCACTTTACATGAATACCCACACGTGTTTCCGCATGTGAAAGTGACTGGTTTGAGATTTCACACTGGGGAATTCATGTGTGGAGACTCCCCAGCATTTCACACATGTCAAAGGTCAAATTCTGGCAAATGTGCCAAAACTGTTATATTATGCATACATTTCCTAGCTTGTTAACATTAACTGGATGACATGAGGCTTATGATGTCTATCTGAATGCTGTCTGTCTGTCCTTTCCAATAAACTCAGGGTCATTTGGACAACTTTCACAAAAAACTTGTGTATTTTAATCTCCTACCACCTACAAACGTAAATACGTTGGTAAGGTAATCTTCTGAGGTAGGAGAAACAGTACTTTTGAGTGAGTGCAGGTTCAACAAATATTAAACTTAAAAACCAATTCTACCTATAAAAGACATCAAGAATCAGAGGAAATGAATGAAATACACATTCACTTTATATCTGATAAATGAACTGTGTCGTCAGGTAGTAAGAGGTGAGAAACATACATACCACTCGGTACTTAAACATCTTTCTACATAAACGTAACAGGCCGAATTGTTTCTTTTTATAAAGTAGACGGTTCCTTAGCCAAGATCCTTACCAGTTGCATCCCTAACACAAGGCTGCTCAGTGACATTTATTACCCTCTGAACTGCGACCGAACACAGTATCCAAACAGAAAACAAAACGAATCACAATCAGAAAAACAAAATCAACAAATATAAGGAAAAAAGAAAAAAATGTTACATGCTTAACATCATGCAATCCACTACATTCTTAGTTTCCATATCAAAACATTTTAAAGTTTGCAATTCCTACCACAATTAAGACAGTCCTATAATGTGCAGCAATAAAGCTAAATTCCCAATCAATCATGCTCATTAACAGTATGCTTTAACAAATAATAACTATGAACCTTCAAACGTTGACTTACCTTGAAGACCAATGAATTGCACCCCACCTTAAAAGAAAGTAACAAACTAACAGCTAAAACAGTCCATTATCAGCATCGTCATGTGACAACTAAAGCAGGAATCTTGGTTCATACCTGATTTAGCTTCACATTCATTTTCAGGCAAATTAATTATTTAATTCTATTGCAGAGATTGGGAACCTACAGGAGACAGAACTATGGAAAAAACAACACTTTGCAAAGTTACATACTCTGCAATTTCAGTTTAATGCACCTGAATAACTGCCAACGCAATCTAAAGATTAGACAACGCTTCTTTAAAGTTATGCTTTATTCAATGATGTTATCAGTATGACACTGAATTATAAGATAATTAATGGATAATTAACTGGAAATGATACAGCTGTGACCACATTTGAGTACTATCCCGGCACATCTTTGGAAAAACTGAGGAAACTGACAATGAATCTCAATCAAGATAGTCAGTCCCCAGGAAAAGACTTTAACCCAAGACTGCATGAATATCTAGGATAAGACTTTAACCCAAGACTGCATGAATATGAAGCAGGAATTCAACCATTCAGCTGCAACACTTGGTTCCTGACCACTTTTTAAATAAAAATAATCCATCCGTTCCTCATATCATTGAAAAAAATTTGTTATATATTCAGAATCCCACCAAACACAAATCATATTGAAAATCTTTGTTTTAAAGGAATTATTTTGGCTCAGGAACATGCATTTTGATGCTCTAAGATACAAAAATGAGTTCAAGACAGAACTCATAAAGCCTACTTTCTAACTGTACAATCCTCCAGTCATATATTTAATTGGCGTTGTCTGTCGATAATGTAAATTTATAAACTGGCAATAAAACGTAATTTATCTGACGGGTTAATGTGATGAGCTTATAAGACACCAACAAGATTGAATTCCATTTGAGTCAAGTGTTTTTTTATTGTGTGTAACTATAAATACCAATTTCATATTCCAAGTACCCACAGATGATTAGATGTCACTTCAAAAATGAAAGCTACGTAAATATTTTCACACAACCACTACGCTGTTGTTTTATATTAACAAAACATCCTTAACATAAGATTTTTCAAAGACCTGTTATCATACATAATTTCAGGACTCCACATTACATTTGACTAATGTCAATTCTGTCTCTTAAGTCTGTATGGTCACTGTGCTAGTATTACATATTGTGGGAAAAGAAAATGTACAAGAAGATTTCTGTCTTCTGGGTTGTTGCGCTGTGTAGTCTGGTCGATGTTAACCAACGTTTCAGAGGTCATACTGCCTCCGTCATCAGGGCATAATATCATAATGTTATATGAAATGTTATAGAAGTCCATTAAATGCTTGCAGAGTATTAAGGGATGCAATACATGGACATAATCTGACGTCACAAATTTACTTTTATTTCTGGAAAAGTCAAAGTTAAAAATCGAAGTTCTTTGCAAAGTAAAGAATTGCATAAGGCCCAGAAAAATGCTGATACTAGATTTCTCGACACTGGCGTACAATTAAAATATGTAAATATAGCACAGTGATTCTTATATCAATATAAGGTTCCCAACCTCTACTTTTCTCTACAAACTACAGCTTTCTACATTAGTAAGCGTAACATACTAAAGTTTCAGATATGTTAATACTAGAAACACGAAGTTAGACATACGCAGCGCAAGCATCATATTGAGATATGATCTATGCAGTTTTCTCATGTAAGATGATAATAATGCACACCAATCATATTATGCATGTTATACTGTGAAATATTTCTAAAAAAAGATACGTTAAAATTGCGAACTGGCAATAATATCACATAATAAGTCACTGTATGGATAATATTGGCATGTAATTGTTAGTAAAGTGTGTGCTAATGTCTATGCATTGCATACAAGAGAGAAAAAAAAGCACACATGGCCCCTTTCGAATGATATCCAAGAGATTATCACACAGTAAATTTTAATAACAATGTCAACTGTGGTCTTCTGGGTTGTAACACTGTGTAGTCTAGTACCTGTATTAACACATATGCATGGTGAAGTGTAAGAAAATTTGACTTGAAGGAATAACTGATTAAAACTGAACTAAATGTTACCTGATACCACTTTTAATATGTCATCTTTACGCAAAAAAAATTTGGGAGACAAGATCAAATAATTTGTGAGCTGCCAGTTGCCAAATCACTGCATTAAATAGAATAACAATGATTTAAAACACTGATAGCATCCAATTAAACCTTTTAAGAAGTGTTTGAAGTGGAATGGAGCAATATGAGCACAAATTAAGACATGGTATATACAGAATGGGTGGGAAGTAAGTAGGCATTAAATAATCGCTATACATTGGAAATATAGAGGTTATAACCATTTTCCAATGCCTACTTACTTCCCAACCACCCTGTAGTATTCTGCATTTAGCATCAGTCCAATGGCTTATGTGTTTGTATATTTTTATACACTGAAAGAGCAATTTAGAGAAATTTTACTCTCTTCAACATCACACAGCATTCGCAAATTTTCCGTATACGTACTGAAAATAGTAAGAAAAAGAGAAACTTGTCTCATCTGATACCAAGCGAGCGCACAACATACTAGATTTAAACAACAGACGTTGCCACGTAAGGGTTGGTAGCGATGGAAAAACGAAGATGCAGGGTAACACCTCACTCCACTTCAAGCACATTAAGATAGCTTACACTTGAAGATAAGTTATGAGCACTTAAAAGAACTAGTGTAATAAAAAAATTAAGCTCACTTACCCCCAAGGTGTCCTGAGTACTTAATAGATGTTACTTGAAAGGAAAAAAAGACCACATAAACGAAAATATTAAAATAATGAATTAAATAAGCCACAAAGGTTTGTCGTGCAATACATAATACATATCCCAAAAATTCCCAACACAGACACATGCTCAAAACTCAAAAACATCATGTGCTTTGGTCAACAGTGCAGTGTTTCATGCAACATAAAATACCCCACAGCGGCTTCACTTATATTCTGAGAAGCAAGTGCGTAGTCAGGTCTGACTTTACTATGGAAAAACAGCCAACAGGAAGCATGAACACAGATTATATATCAGACTCATACCTTACAAAGCAGACATCAGGTCAGGTTCTGAACTTAGGCTCATTCACGAATAAAAATTTGCAAAAGTGCGCGTATTAGCTTCACCGTCGTTGGCTGTCTGCACGTAACAACCCAAGATCCACTGAACAGATTTTCATGAAATTTTACACTGCGAAACCTGAGTACAGTTGTCCATACATTCCATTTTTTGGGGAGCAAATCAAACAGAAATAATGGACACCCTATATAAAGATTTATGTGCGTTTTTGCCGGCAGGGCCTACGTGTATTTTACAAGTGGAAACGGCTAGAAGGGGAATTTACAGCCAGCTGCGCAACCACACGTGGGGAATACTCCATGATAATGTCATAATCCAGCCAGGCAGGCACCAAACAATCTGCCCATACAAAGATCACTGACCCCAGACAGCTAAGATGTCATTGATGCCATTAGCCAACATAAAGGGTATAAACTATGGTGAATGTGTAAGAATTGTTATGCAATGCACATACTTCCTAATTTCTCGTATGGTGCTAAGGGAAACAGTGTGTCTCATAGCTCACCTTCTTACCAACTCACAGCGGACATTTGGATAAATGCAGTAACTCTCTGGTAAAAGAATGCCCTACACTGTCAGTACCAAAGTTGACTATGCATCCAATCCTGAGCCAGTTCAATCTATTGCAGTTACACACAACCCTACTTCTTCAAGATCCGCTTCAATAAACCACTAAAATTCTGTGTATATCGTCCATTCAATCCACTAACCCAAAAAATAGTAAACGTAATTGGTGCAGATCAGGACTTTTAAATTCAAAAATCTTTGTTTGCATCAATGACAGGATACTTTGATGTTTCAAAGTGAAGACGATGGGTGTCACATGCTGCAAACAGAAATTATGTTATGTTTTGCAACCTTTTTTTTTATATAGTGTTCTGTCTGACGACAGGTCCATATGAACAGGATCCTTCCATCCTTTTCTCGGACTGGGACCTGTTCATATACGTTCTTGGCACATGATCCAGAAGTGGTTTGCCATTGCCTTCTTCTGTGTGTGAATGGAGTAATTGTTGGGATGCCACGGAGGAAAACTCCGTGTTGCCTAGACCACGGCCTGGCCCAACACAAGTTATAAATTCGGGCACCGCCGCGAATCAAACCCGAGACCCCCAGGATTACAAGGCCAGCGTTCTAACCGCTAGACCACCGTGGCAGTTTTGCAACTATACATTCAAAATAATACGGTTGATGACATTTTCCCAAAACTGTACTCTGATAGCAGGTTATATGGCAGTAAGACTGTTATTGACATTATGAAACAGACCACATATTACTATGAAACCTACATAACGAATTATAGATAGTTCAAGTGAAGACAGTTCATTCTCTGTTTTCACATTTCCTGTCAGCTGCTTCATTACGGGAAGTTTTAATCACATTTCTTTCCATCACATGTTTGCACAGTCAACTACAAAGCATTATTAACTAATATTTCTGAAACCTAGACCAAGATTTCCCAGCTGGTTTGTTTCACAAGCAATAATTTCATTACTTATCAAATGTACTATAAAAAAACAGGGATAGACAACACACATTCCGGATATGTCTTTGGCATTCCACAATTCTGAAACAAATGTCCTTGGCGAATGCCAGTACTCTTTTTGTTATACAGTAATTATTTCTCTGCAGATTAATAGATTTTTTAAAAAAAAGTTATGCAACAGTTTGCCAGCTACAGCAAAAGTAGTTTTGTCATGGAAACTGATACAAATCACAGTATCTGTTGCCAGGTGAAACATAAACCTGTATAATAAGGAGTATTAAGCACAGTCACATCCTTCTCTATTCCTTCATTTGTCAAATAATCTAATAAAAAACCACTTCCTTCTCTATTCCATTCATTTGTCAAATAATCTAATAAAAAAAATCTTTCTCCCACATACTAAAACTTTATCAGCTATCTATCACAGCTTACATGCGTGTCATAGTAACATACTTATATTCTAACTCTGATCAGAATAGCTAGTATATTTAGTCAAGAATCAAACACACTACCCCCATCATCATCTTGTCCCACTTTTCATAAACAACTTTATATCTTTCCTTTGAGTGAGATAACCTAACCAGGTCACATGATGCTAACACAATAACCTGAGAAATAAACCACATTCTTTTCCACATACATGCAAAGCAACTAAGTTGATTAATTTAAGCACCGCACCATATTTTATATCCATCTTCAGTCTAGCTGCAGCTGCCATGTCAAATGAAACAGCTGTTATTATTTCTTTACATCAGGTTCAATAGCCACTAACAAGTAGACTCATAACAGCAATGAGTCATAGCCAGGGGTAAAGTTCAACAAGCAACAGCCCTCTGTTATCAACACGTCTGGTTTTTATCTCAGCCAACACATGACATGTGTACCATGAAAAGGACAAGAAACGTTAATAGGGTAATTCCATGTTACCTCAATACCACAACCGGCACGGCTACCTCGGATTTCAATATTTGGTAAGCTAGTTATGTCTCATTAGCGATTAAACGTCAAATTTTACCTTCCGATACACATTTCAGATATATATTATATGGTTATTTTATTTCAATTTTAATTTAAACTTTGTCTCATTCTGAATCACTAAAACATTTGTAATTCAAACTCTAGTGGAAATACAAAAGCTCATTCTTGCAGCAATTTAAAATGGCGGTACCATTTAGTATGCCACCTGGGGGGCCACTTTAAATTTTGTACCTTCCAATTTCTAAATACCAAAAATAGATAATGGCAAATTTATTTAAAAATTTCCCCAAACACATTCTGTGATTACAGTATGTAAATATCTTTCTGAAAACTTACAGGTTGGAAAGTACAGAGTTAATTTGAAATTCATGACAACTAACGAAGTGGTTTCGTTATTAAGTATAAAAGAATGAAATGTATTTTTAAAGATTCAAATGGCTACAAGTTCTTTTAAAGTATACAAGGACAAGAATGTTTTAAAACAGCAAAATCTGAGCTGTCAGAATGGCTGATGGAAAGGACTGTAGTATTCAGAGGGGGCAATGAATCTGGAATTAACACAAAAAGAGTAATTAATCTGCCTGGATTTTGTGAAAATGCAGCAGCTATTTCTTCAAGTTCAAAATTACTGAGAAGGGATATAGAAAATAAGATCTAAAGGCAAAATATTAAGAGATTCTTAAGCCATTCCTAAATACAAAACAAACAAAAAACAATGAAATGGTACCTATGCATATATTCTACCAGCATGTTTGTTTCTGATTACAAATCATAGGATACCATAAACAAAAATAAATAAGTTAAATTTTGATATGATGCTCTGTACACAGTATGGAACCTCAATGAATATAACTGGAAGTTGAGTAGCAATACAAAGAGTAACAAATTATTTATACAAAGAAATAACTTCTACTCAACTGACTCACATACTGACATATTTCAGGGAGGCAGAAAATGAAATACCTCAATTTTTGGTAAAAAATATTAATATGTTATGCATGTGAACGGAAGAAAAAGTGTCATGAAATTTTCATAAAATACCATTCTCTCATATTATCAGTAGCGCTCAGAAACTGACACCATCTGGGAAACCTCAGAATAATGTGTGTGTGTGTGAAAGCAAACTGCGAGAACTGAATTTTACTTACAGTGTGATCCCTGCTCCTCACCATGGATAGAGTGCTCTGTGGTAGTCCCTGTTGTAGTTATGTCAATCATATCGTCATCTGAACTTAATGACACACTACGAATTTGCTGCCCATTCTCAAGCTGAGGAGAAAGAAAATAGTTTAATTTACTTAACTCACGTACCCCATTACATGCCATGAAGGCACTTCAGTGAAGCAGAGGAAGTATAATTCTTACTTGTTCTTGACCTCAGCACTACATGCGAGTGAGTGGTCAGCATCACATACCAGCCTTGCTCTACCCCTAGAAATGGACTCCTAGTACCCACTAGACAGGAGAATGAGTTAATGTAGTAAATTATTATTATTTATTATTATTATTTAGTGTTCTGTCTGAC